GTGTGTGTGCTGAGTATCGCGTGTGGGATATCCAGGGTGATCCAGAGTGTGAACAGTGAGCTGTTTGAGGCGCTCAGTCGCCATAGCCAGAGGAAGGGAACTGTTGCCTGGAAGCCATATCTCTGGATTCTGTGTGGGCGCATGTCGCCAGTTTGTTGTTCTGCTGTTCACGTGCATGAAAAGTGTGAATAAGTCGAGTCTGATTGCACTGATATCGGAGCTGGTACCCGCTGTTCCACGCGCGCCGGCGTGTGCAGGGCCGATGCGCCATAGTTGAGGTGGTAACAGAAGGAGGCAGTCCGCCATAGCGGACCTTGGGTTGAAGAAGCCGCCGCGCACGTGCAGTCAGAGACCAGGACGAAGAAGAAGACTGAGAGAGAGAGAGAGAGAGAGAGAGAGAGAGAGAGAGAGAGAGAGAGAGAGAGAGAGAGAGGGAGGGATGAGGGAGCAAGGGTGAGGCTCACCTCATCCTCTGTGGCCCATTCGATTTCGTCAAAAAGTGCTTGATGGATCGGCACCGATAGCTCAGCAGGAACATTGATGAGACGTTCGCTAATGATCAAACCCACACCCTGTTTTCTCTCAAGAAGAGATGCCAGCTTGGAAACAGCTGGGCTGTGTTGACCCTTGGCCAACAGGAACCGACCAATATGCTGTAAGCACTGCTGATCCTGCAGAGTTTTCAGAGCCACCAGCAGGAAAAGTACAACCACACACACACGCACACACACACACACACACGCGCACACACACGCGCGCGCGAACACACACAGAGTTGGCCAAAAGCAATGACGAAACGGAATTCGCACATCACCCATCTTACATCAGGTGCAGGTAGCAGAGAGGTGTGAAATCCACAATCCTTGCAATACAACGTATTGAGAAAGACAAGGCCCATCACACAAACCCATACCGACTTCCCTAACAGAAAATAAAGAGCTATACGTAACGCTGCACAGGAGGGAGGTATAGAGGTATAAGCGTCACTGAATTCTCAGACAGTACAAACCTGCACATGGATAACACGAAAGCATCTCTCTCTCTCTCTCTCTCTCTCTCTCTCTCTCTCTCTCTCTCTCTCTCTCTCTATCTCTCTATCTATCTATCTATCTATCTATCTATCTATATACATATATATATATATCTCACGTACACACACACAGAGCGTCATGGTTTTCTTAGTGAAGTGTGTAGCAAACATGACAACATCCATGCTGTCACACACACACACACACACACACACACACAAACAGAGAGAGAGAGAGCTACCTTGTATCTGTGTAGATTGAGACATGTAATGAGCCCGATGGGGTTGTCATCATCAGCAGTCTTGATGACTGTACCGACTGTGGTTTGACTAAGAACTACCCCGACCAATCCTGAAAGGTCAACTGGTGCATCATCCAGGTAGCTGTTCAGAAGCGCCTTCACGCCATGGAAATCAGATTGCTTTGGGTCGAAGAACTCGAAATCCACATTCACAATCACCTGCACAACAAAACAGTAAGGAAAGAACAAAAACCAAAAAAAGCCGAAACGTTTCAGGCTGCAACAGGAGTAAAAAAGAACCAAAAGGCAAAAAGGAAGAAAATAAGATCATTTCCTCCCCGGCCAGACTGACGCTCCCCAGAATGGACATGGAGACAGGACCATAAGTACCTGGTTAAAAAATAAAAAAAGAAGATAATTTCCTCCCTCCCTCTCTCTCTCTCTCTCTCTCTCTCTCTCTCTCTCTCTCTCTCTCTCTCTCTCTCTCTCTCTCTCTCTCTCTCTCTACTGCCCGTGTTTGATATCTTCGTTTTCTGCATGTTGTCTAATTCTCCTTGCTTGCCACAATTCCGTAGAGATTCATTTTGATGTTTTGTGCTTTTGTGTTGGTTTTCAGGTTTTTTTTTTTTTTTTTTTTTTTCAAGGTTCATATATTGAAGTTAATTAAACTGATCAGAAAAGATGTTCCACTTGATATTAGCCACAAGGCTGTGAAAGGTATTTTGCTGCTTTTTTTCAAAAAAAAAAAGCCGTTTATGCTTTCGCTTCCTATTTTGGGTTTAGGGTTTGTTTTGCTCTTGTGCTGACTTTTGATTTCCCATTTTTGTTTCTTTTTTTTTCCTTCGAAAAGGGAGACAGTCTTGAGATACCATCATAAACTGATCAACTCAGGTAAATGCAGAAATTATTTAAATTTATTTTATTATGTTCATCTCACTGCATCTGTATTCGAACTTGTGTCTATATATTTCAACAAGCCGTCCGTTTTCTTTCCACCCCTTTTCTGTTTTGGGTTCTCTTTCGCTTTGTGTTGTTGTTGTTGTTGTTGTTGTTGTTGTTTAAATCAGTGCAAGGAATATGAGTGTGAACGATATACAGAAAACCGATGTTGCGAAATCACACAGATGTCCAGGTAGTCGTATCCAAGCCGAGAGTACTAAATGCACCGAGAAACCATCCATATAGAGCAATACAATGAAGTATTGAGCCAATGTTCAAGCCTGTAGACCACACCAACACAGTATCCAAAGTCGCTCCTCTCTGTCTGCGCCCAGCGCCCAACCTACTCTGCCCGACTATCCTACCTACAGCTGGTTTGCGCAACAGGCTCACTTCGACTTTCGAAGACCAATGTACATGATGTCAACACCATAGCCGACCTCTCTTCATGCACCAGGTACGTATCTCGTCACCCTCAATCAGACCTTCATTACCCCACACTGCGCCTCCTTCCCTGAAAACCACCAGATGACCTGCTGTACCCCCTAGCGCCCCGGCAGCCCGGCTATGGCCGCCTGCGCCCCGCTGCCCTGCAGCGCCCCACTTCACCACTACGCGCCCCGTCAGCGCCCTTGGCAGCAGCGCAGCATCAAGCGATAGCGCAGCAGCACTTCCGCATTGCCTGCACTGGCCAGAATGCCTGGCCTGGACTGCCCTACTTTTGTGGAAGTGGCAGCCTCTGGATGCTGCGTGTGGCCTGGATCGAAGCTTCCAGTAGCTTCCGGTTGGGCCTCAGAACCTGCGCCCAGGCCCGAGACTACAGTTGAGGGCCTGGGCCCGTTACAGTTGGGCACGGCCTGAGTCTCCGGACTTGGGCTGTTTGCTGCATCTGTGCAGGGCTCCCAGGCAGGTGCGTCGGCAGTACTGCTTTTGCAAAGGCCGATGGCCTGCTTCCCAATGTATCGGCCTTACTGTGTGTGTATGTGCCCAGGCGCAACTGTCTAGGCCTGGGCCAACTGTATGACGCAGCTTTGTGAGGCTCACGCGTCTATCCAACCAACTGGCGTGCTGCGAGAGCCTGAATACCCACATATGGAACTGTCGAATTTTTCCTCTGACGAATATTCAGGCCCGCCTTCACTTAGGGCGGGCACTCGGCTTGCTGGGGGCCTTAGCCCAGATCATGTGATGTCTGATAGGGCCCCTTGAGGGCTTGTTCCTCACATTAGGAATGCTTTGTGTTATTTTCGTTTTCATTTTTTTCTTTTTTTTTCTTTTTTTCTTCTTTTTCTTTCTTTTTTTTTTTCCCCTTCGTTTTTCTTTTTTTCTTGCTTTTTCTTTTTTTTCTTTTTTTTCGTCAAAAAAAAGAACTAACTTGATTGTTTTGGCAGAGGTGGGCGTGTGTGTGCAGTTACAGCTGCTGATCATGGGCCGCCATCCACTACACAACACTCTGCATGCATTTGGACGCTTTCTGGACCCAATACATTGAAAATGTTGGACTTTTCGAAACGCATCTGGTCCAGAAAGCGTCTAAATGCATGTAGAGTGTGGTGTAGTGGAGCGAGGCCCCATGGCAAACATGACTGCAAACAGCTCTTTGAAACGCATCTGGTCCACAAAACGTCAAAATGCATGTAGAGTGTGGTGTGGTGGAGCAAGCCCCCATGGCAGACATGACAGCGAACAGCACACATTGTACTCACGACAAACCCGCTGCGAGGTGGAAAGAGTGGAAAACCGTTTTTTTCTTTTTTCCTTTTTTTTAAGAGGAGTCCAGACTCAGATCGAAATGAAAAGCATCATAGTCCATTGAAAGGAGTGAAACACAATTAGGAAAAAAAAAAAAAAAAAAAGGGAACAATGAATGAAACAGAGGGGCAAGTTCTGAAAGCAGCAAAAGCGGCAGAATCTAGACCTGGGAATCCCAATCAGACAGAAGCTTAAGACAGAGACAGAGAGGAAAAAAAAAAAAAAAAAAAAAGGGCAGTTTAAGCACTGCCATGCTTTTCGGGTTTAGGGTGGTGAGTGGGAGAGAGCTTCAGAGAAGGGAGAGAAGGACGAGGGGAGAGAGAGGGGATGGAAGAGCGAAAGAGAGAGAGGTGGTGCCATCCGGTTCGACAGAGGGGGGGGGGGGAAGGGGAGAGAGAGAGAGAGAGAGAGAGAGAGGCGAAGTCGTCCAGATGGAAACATCATCATATCATCACTGAAGTTGTGGAGGAATATGCAGAGGAAAAAAAAGAAACAATAAAAAAGAATTTTCACAAAAAAATGCTGTGGATCACTCAAGTGGCGGAGGAATGTGCAGCGAAAAAAAAAAAAAAAAAAAAAGGATGTGCAGAAAAAAGCTGGGGGTTGTCGATACAACAAAGATGAAGGTGCTGAGAGGATGGGTATGCCTCATTATTTTTCTCTATCTCCATCATCTCCTTCTCCATTATTTTTCCCCATCTCCATCATCTCCTAATCCATTAGTTTTCTCCATCTCCATCTTCATCTCCATTATCTTCATCCCCATCTCCAATTTCCAATTTCCAATTTCCGATTTCCACAGCCTTTGGGCCTCACTCCACTACACAACATTGTGCATGTATTTAGACAGATACGTTGCCCACATGCATTCGGACTGATCCAACGATTGGACTGATCATTACCAAAATCTCCGTCTCAAATCTGTATCAAGCAGCGAACTTCCCAATTTCCACAGCCTTTGGGGCCTCGCTCCACTACACAACATTGTGCATGTATCTGGACAGAACCGTTGACCACATGCATTCCGACTGATCCAAAGTTTGGACTGAATCGGGACCATTATTAGCTCCGGATACATTTACAAGCTTTTGCAGTGGAGGGAGGCCCTTTGTGACCCACCTGCAATACCTCATGCATCCATCAACCCCCCACCTCTTCGTCTCCATCCCTATCTCCGCCAACATCTGATCTCTCTCCATCTCCATCCATCCATCTCTCCATCCCTCCACCTCTCCATCTCCATATCTCCATCTCCATCTCTACATCTCCATCTTCATCTCTCCATCTCCATCTCCATTTTCAAGTCTCCATCTGCATCTCTTCTTTTCCATCTCAAGTCCATATCTTCCATCTTAACTTACTTCCATCTCCGATCTGAACTTCATTCCCCCTCTCCTCCTTTCTTCCTCCTGAGTCATCATCACCCACCACCATAGCCCATCTCCATCTCCATCTCCATCTCCATCTCCATCGCCATCTCCATCGCCATCTCCATCTCCATCTCCATTCCTGCACTATCTCCACATCTCTATCTCACAGTCTTGAATCTCTTCATATTCACTCACTTGCATCTGCAATAATCTCCATTGCGATATCCGATTTCATTCCTCTCCCTTCATCACCACTCCATACTCTTCTTTATCCCCATGTCAGACCATCCATCACTCACATTACTGACATCTAATCTACATATCTTTGAGTACCCTGAAGTACATCATCTTCCATTCTGAACTCCACACACTCATTTCCAAAAATCTCCATACCCCCACCCACTCTACATATCTTCACTTTCCGATTCTTCGTAATCAATCTCCATTATCCATTATCCAATCTAATAATAATAATAATAATAACATTGAACACCATCCAATCTCCATCATCCATTATCCCATATCCAAACATTATATATACATATATACACTGTAAATATACATATATCGTCATACAGGACTGGCCGGTATATATATTGTCACAAAGTTATCAGAGCGCAAAAGCGGAAAGAAAACAGAAAGAAAACAAAGAAAAATAAATTCATTTTTTTATCTTCTTCCTTAAAAACTCCCCCTGTTCAGAACCTCCTCTTGCGTACAAGGCCTGCCTACGGTTTACTGTAGGCAGATATACATATATAAAAAAATTATATATGTTTGTCTGACGATATATACATTCGACAAACAGAGCTGCTGCCCGGTCAAGCGTAGGGGCAGAGAGGGAGGGCGGGAGAAGAGGACAAGAAACGAGGGGCTGTGACAAACTGTTTCGTCGGAGTTTCACCGACTCATTAGGAGTATAGGATATATATCGTCACACTGTGAATCGGAGCGCAAATGCGAACAAAAAGGAAAAAAGAAAGAAAAAACAAGAAAAAATGAATTCAGTTTTTTTATCTTCTGCGCAAAAGCGAAAAAAAAGAAAAAAAGAAAGAAACAAACACAGAAAAATTGAATTCATTTTTTTTATCTTCTTCCTTATAACTCCCCCTGTTCAGAACCTCTTGCGTACAAGGCCGCCCACGTGGATGTAGGTTGAACGGCGGCTGCCCCCACCCCCGTGTGTTTATTACTAGTAATATTATATTATATATATCTGTTGGACGATATATATGAGATTATGAATATATATCGTCAAACAGAGCTGCAGCCCGGTAAACCGTAGGTGGCAGAGAGGAGGAGAAGAGGAGAGAAGAGGACAACAAACGAGGGGGGGGCTGTGACAAACTGTTTCGTCGGAGTTTCACCGACTGACTCATCAGGAGGCTGTATTATATTATCCAATCTCGACTATACGTTATGCAAAATCCATAATCCAATATCCATAATCGATTATACCATATCCATATCCTTTCTCGATTATCAAATATCTAGTTTTTAACATACAACAATATATCCAATTTCACATTCCTCTATATCTTCCATTGACCTAATCTCCATCTTCATCTCGAATCTCCATCTCCCATGTCTCTCACCATGTTCATTCTCCATGTCCCATTAACTACATCATCTTCGCCTGCTTTTGCTCCCAATTCCAATCAAGCATGCCGTTCGCTTTCCTCTGTTCGCAATGACAATGGTTCTCCATCTCCATCTCCATCTCCATCTCTTCATCTCCATCTCCATCTCTTCATCTCCATCTCCCCATCTGCATCTCCATCTCCATCTCCATCTCTCCATCTCAAATCTCCATCTCCATCTCTTAATCTCCATCTCCATATCTCCATCTCCATCTCTCCATCTCCATCTCTCCATCTCCAGCTCCCGCTCCCACTTCTTCCCCGCTGTCTCTTTCTCCATCCATCTCCATCTCCATCTCCATCTCCATCTCTCCATCTCTCCATCTCCATCTCTCGATCTCCATCTATCCATCTCCAGCTCCCGCTCCCATTTCTTCCCCGCTGTCTCTTTCTCCCTCTCTTTACTCGTTGTGCCCCTTCGCTTCTCCTCTAGACGTCTTCGCCCGAATTGAACGTACGGTAATTATGGCTGCATTTGGGCGAACTGTCAGTCCAGATACAGCGATAATGACGGTCCGTTCTATTCGGGCGAAGACGGTAGACGTCGGCAACAGCAGATCCCTGAGCAACCGCTCGTCATTATATACTCTTTCATCCTCTAGCGGTCGGAATCAAGAGACAGGAGAGAGGCAGGGAGAGAGAGGGGGAGGGGAAGGGAGAGCGGGAAGGCGCAGGAGGAAAGAGGGGGTGAGGGAGGGGAGGGGGGACAGATTTGAAAGAAAGAGGGGAGAGAAAAGAAAGCACAGAGATTGGACGAGGGGGAATCAAAGAGAAAACGACAGAGAGAGAGAGAGAGAGGACAAGAGAACAACTAGAGATTGAAGCAAAAGAGAGAGAGAGAGAGAGAGAGAGAGAGAGAGAGAGAGGGAGCGGAGAGCGAGGGGGCAGAGAGGAGGGGACAAGGGAGAGGAGGAGGAGGGAGAAATCGAGGAACATGGAAGATGCCGAAGATGTAACAGCGAGAGCGAGAGGGAAGGGGAGAAAGACAGAGAGAAGGAGAGAGAAGGAGAGAGAAAGAGAGAGGGAGAGAGTAATAATGAGAAATGGAGGAAGAGAGACGCCCAACAAAAAAAGAGAACAAAGAAAAAAAAAGACAGCCCGTCGAGAAATACGCGATGGAGCAGAACGCCATATCTGAGACAGATCGCGATAAACACAGAGACAGAGAGACAGAGAGAGACAGAGAGAGAGACAGAGAGAGACAGAGAGAGACAGAGAGAGACAGAGAGACAGAGAGATAGAGAGAGACAGAGAGAGACAGAGAGAGATAGAGAGAAACAGAGAGACAGAGAGACAGAGAGACAGAGAGACAGAGAGAGAGAGGGACAGAGAAATAGTCCCATGGGAAGAGGGGGAGAGCGAGGCCAAAATACATAGGGACACGCAACGAAGAAGAGAGAATAGAGAGAGGAGAGAAGAGAGGGAGAGAAGGCAGAAGAGAAAAAGAGAGAGAGAGAGGTAATGACTAGCCGGAGGTCAAGAACGTCATCGGCAACATCGGGACCGCAGAAAATGGTGAAAAATAGTGGAGCGCCGTCGATCGAGCAAAGGGGAGAGAGAGAGAGAGAGAGAGAGAGAGAGAGAGGAGAGAGAGAGAGAGAGAGAGAGAGAGAGAGAGAGAGAGGATTATCATTTAGTGCGCGACACAGAGAAAGAGACGCGAGAAAGGGGAGAAAGGAGGACAAGGGAAGAGAAGTAGAGAAGAGATTAGGGAGACGGAAAAGGGGAGAGCGGATAGAAGAGGTAGAGAGAACAGACAGGGAACAGAGAGAGAGGGAAGCACACATCAAGAACAAGGCGCAAAGAGATACGACGCACAGAGAAAGAGAGAGAGAGAGAGAGAGTGCAGAACTCAGACAAAGAGCGGGACAGAGAGACAACACTGTTAACGACAGAGAACAGACAGGGAACAGAGAGAGAGGAGAGAGGAGGAAGGACACCTGTACGAGCGGGCAGAGAAACAATACACGTGAGCATCGACAAAATGCATGAGAGAAAGAGAGAGAACGAGAGACAAAGAGGGTAAGAGAGAGACGAGGAGGAGGAGGAGGAGAGCACAGAAAAAGACCCGAGTGAGAAGAGAGAAACCAAGAGGGAGGGCATGGAGAGAGCATACGTAAACTTTGCGGGGGGGAAAAAGAAAAAGGACAAAGCAAGGAGAATTCTAACGAGAGTGACAAGCACGACACAAGTCTCGCTGCAGAAGAGTCTCATCAGCCGCCGCTAGATTGAGATCGGAGGGGCTGAGAGGAGAGAAGGGAGCATTCTCTAGCAACCTGCAGTCGAGATTTTGAGAGAGAGAGAGAGAGAGAGAGAGAGAGAGAGAGAGAGAGAGAGAGAGCAGGCAGCATCCTCTAGCAAGCTGCAGTCGGCATTGTGAGAGAGAGAGAGAGAGAAAGAGAAAGAACGAGAGAAAGAGAGAAAGAAAGAGAGAAAGAGAGAGAGAGAGTGAGAGACTGAGAGAGTGAGAGAGAGAGAGAGAGTGTGAGAGAGGGAGAGAGAGGGAGAGAGAGAGAGAGAGAGGGGGGAAGAAAGAATAAGCAAATGCAGAGAGAAAACAAGAGGTGGGACGGAAACAGAGACAGAAGACAGAGAGAGAGAAAGAAGGAGAGAGGGAGAGAAGGAGAGAGGGAGACATGGAGAGACACAGAGGACGAAGGAGAGTACGAGGGCATTTGAGAAAACGACAGAAAGAACCGAAGGGTAAAAGAGCAAAAGAGTGTGTACTGTGTGACGACGACGACGTGAGGGTGCTAGTGCCAAAACAAACGAAATGGAAAAGGGCCTTCACGGCCGGCCGGATTTACTGCCACGTGTCCGATTTACTGCCATTGATCCGGAGCAGCCATATCCTCAACAAGGGAAAAAACACTTTTTTTTTTTTTGTGTGTGTGGGGCGGGGGGG